TCGGCTTGGTTTCGCTCCATCTTTTAGCACTTCCCTCCCCGGCATCACGCTGTGCAGCCGGTCCCTGCTGGGAGCACCGACCACTGTGCCGTACCATGTGGGGTGATGGGACGGGGGACGCTAGGTGCCAGGCATGGCGGGTGGGTGGCTGTGCCGCAGGAAGACCCTGCTCCCTGCTTCCCCCAGCTCGCTGGTCCGAAAGACCCATCCCAGCACATGCATGGCTTCCCCACCTCCATCTCCCCCGCTGCTCTCTGTCCCCCTGGGTCCCACCGGCGGAAGGGACGAGCTCTGGCACCCTCCGCTCTCACCTGCTCACCCGTTGCTGCCACCCACCCGCTCTTCGGCCTCGAAACGTCTCCATCCCTGTTTCTCAGCTTCTTCCTTCCAGCCTGTCCCTGGCAACTCCAGCCTGGCACCTTGGCGTGTCTCCTGTCCTGGTGACTAACCGCTCTCTGTCCATTCATCTGCCCCACTCCTCTCTCCCCGTTCCCTCCCAGCAGGTCAGCAGTGGACGACTCTGTTTCTCCTCTCTCTTGCTCTTTCCCCCTCTCTCTCTTTTTGCCGCCTTCCCCAGCCCGCTCCCCCGCCCTGGCACCCACAGCTCCACTGGCGCATCCTTGCCCAGCGATCCCCACCGCCGGCTCCTCCGCCTTCATTTTCACTCTGATTTTTAACCTGATTTTGCCTCCCCAGCTACCTCGTGCTCTCCAGTCCTCCCCGGTTGCTGTCCCGCTGGGGCGGGCAAGTCGCATGGGTGTGGGTGTGCGAGAGGGCAGCCACCCTGTGCCGCTGCGTGTGACTCCACCCCTGTCACTCCCAGGTCCCCCTCCTGCGTCTCCATCGGCGTGTGTCCGCGTGTGCTTGGTGTGTCGGTGGGTGTCTCGTGGCATGCGTTGTGGCTTTGCCCGCCTCCATGGCTCGGCTCAGGTGGGAGCCGCGGCAGGTGGAAGCGTGGGGTGCATCATGGGGTACCTGTCTGTGTGCACATCCCCTCCCTCTCAGATCTCTCTGCACCACAGGAGCCACCCAGGGCTGCCCTGTCCCTGCTGCCATGTGCCTGTGTCCCCTCTTGTCCCCATGCATCGTGGCAGCGTGGCCCTGGTGTGTGCCCGGGCTCGGCTCAGGTGGGAGCCGCGGCAGGTGGAAGCGTGGGGTGCATCATGGGGTACCTGTCTGTGTGCACATCCCCTCCCTCTCAGATCTCTCTGCACCACAGGAGCCACCCAGGGCTGCCCTGTCCCTGCTGCCATGTGCCTGTGTCCCCTCTTGTCCCCATGCATCGTGGCAGCGTGGCCCTGGTGTGTGCCCGACCACCTCCATCTCTGCTCTGTCTGTGTGCCCACCGCAGCTCCCGGCTGCCCACCCTCCCACTGAGCCAATCCCTCCCCGGCAACGTGCCTGCCAACCCACACGCAGCAGGGAGGCGACGCC